ATGAAAAACCTTTTTTCCAGAAACTAAGCTCTGCTCGGCATAAAGATCATTAGTTTGTATATGATAAAATGAACCTGGAGAAAAGCGAAGCATGTATTCGCACCACTTTGGTAAAAAAGCATACGATTCCTCCCAATCACCGTACATAATTGCCATTGCTTTCTGCTTCGCATACCACGCCTTTCTGTAGGAAACTTGAAAGCCATATTTAGCAGTTATCCTTTCTTGCACCAAAGAGATTGACACAGATGGTTCAGACTTTATCATCCCTGCATTGAAGAGGATATCAGTGCCTCGATAACATCAAACGAATTTAATTACACATTTGTGTTCAATCACACATCTAAAATACAAAAAGGTACCTATCACGAGATCTGCAATAACGTCCGCATCGAGCTGTCTATGACCCTGGGAAATGTGCTCATTCACACATTCGTGTTTTCCACCCCATCTCGTTATTTTCCAATTTTCACGAAACACCGGTTTGATCGCCCTTACGCGCCACGGACAACCTTGATCGTACGCACAACATTTCATGGACAACTTTGCAGGCGTGCTCTCAATTACAATGGCTTCTTGATGCTCCCTAATAAGGTTGTGCTTAAGTGCCATTTGGACATCTTTTTTTGTCGCAAATTCTTGATTGACAAATAACATGTCACCCAGTTGCCACAGACCTTGTATTGAAGCCGATCCAGACACCGAACCATCAGTACATGATTCTTGTTCGCTCTGATAACTCCAATCAATGTAAGAATAATGTGGAATTCCTTCCCAAAAAGGAATAACATCTGTGTCACCTGCAATTGCGGATTATAATTTTTTAATACGAACTTACTAATTCAGGTATTAAATCAGTTATTTATTCACGCAGTATACAAATGGGAACAATTACCTTCTTGTGGAATACCAAACGGAGCAGACGCAACGTCATTCAACTGCGGCATTTGCGCGACGACTGGTTGATGGAATATTGGAATTTCAGACGCACCCATCTCACGAGATTCATCTCCTTCTGAAGCACTAGCATCCTCCGCCAGAAGATATTCTTCCATTGCCATATTTTCATCGTCATCTTCGTCGTGCATTTCCCAAGTCGGATCATTTTCATCTCCCTCAGAAAAGTTACCAACTAGAGACGCATGAGCGGCAGGAGAAGCTGGAAGACGGGGAGAATTTAAATAAACTGACCTCACCGGTATGGGAGCATTCTCCGTTGCGACGATGTCGACATACAACTCTAGAAAATCTGTCCTTGACTGGTTGCAAAATTCTTCCATTGTCATCTCCAAGTCTTCATCGTCAAGCACTTTCAAACTAATGTATTTATCACCTTGCCACACCCTTGTCGTGATCTCAGTGATACATTGATTGTCTTGAAGACTTAACTTCTGCCGAATTCTTTGATGCAGTTCGCCAATGGTTGTGTTGCGTTGGATACGTGTCGGCCTTTTTTCACCTTCGAATATGACACATCGTCGACCTTCTACCTTCCTATCATTGTAATATAACACAACACGAACAGAATCGGGATTTGAGCTCATTTTTAAATAGAATTACAACTAAAATTCAAATACTAAATTAAAGATAAAGGAATGTTGGTGGAGAAGAGAGATATGAAGAGTGAGAGAAGATGTGTGAATTGAATGGAGGGGGTGAAGAAATATATAGAGCACACATGTGACGCTAGTTTTGGGCGTCACATGTGACGCCCCATTGGGGCATCTCTCCCATGGATAAGACACCCTAATGGGGCGTCACATTGTGCAATAGATGTGTAATTTTTTACGAAACAACATTAAATACGTAATTATTTAATTTAAATACATTATTTTAATTTTTTTGCCCTCGTCGTTGTTTAGTGATGTTAACCAGGAAAGAAAAACAAATATTCATTCAATAAGAAATACAAACCAATCCAGGCGGGAGATACGAGATGATATAACAAGCAGCCTTCAATATAAGAAAATGCCATGTTAGTTTTTTTTTAGACATACGAAAAAAATTTCGTGACATGTAAGTTGTAATATTATTACAAGAGTAAATACCATTTTGGGTCCCTAACAAAAAATACGGTCCTCATTTTAATCTTTTACAAAAAAAAAAAGTAGTCAGTTGATCTCTAACAAATTCAAAGTGGACCCATTTTAGTCCTTTTGAGGGACTAATATGGGTCTTTTTTGAAATTGTGAGGAACTACGATTTGAACTAAATGGGTCCACTTTGAATTTATTAGGGACCAACTGATTAATTTTTTTTTGTAAGAGACTAAAGTGGAGACCGTGTTTTTTGTTAGGGACCAAAAAATGTATTTACTCTTATTATAACTTCACTTATATGTAATAATTTTTTTTTCCGGTAAACCACTTATAATTATTATTTATTGATTAAATAAAATTTAATATTTTTTTATAAATAATAGAGTAAATACCCTTTTTCGTCCCTGGAAATATTTGCGAAGCACAATTTAGTCCCTCGGTTTAAAAAAGTCACATTTCAGTGTTTCATTTTTGAAAAAAAGGGCCACGTTCGTCCTTCCGTTAGTTGGCATCTAACGGCCCAACTAACGGTGCACACGTGGATCGTTACTTTGCTGAGTCACCGTTAAGTATGCCAGCTTGGAAGTAAAACGACGTCGTTTTGAAGGTGCCTTATGTCTTGTTGGAGTTTTGAACAGCTGAAGGTCCTATTTGGTCCCTGACAAATTTATCGAGGCCCTATTTGGTCCTTAATACTAAAAAATCACCATTGCAGCAAACCTTTCAAACCACCATTGCAGCAAACCAAGGCTTATGCTATTCGATCAGATTTCCCATTGTCAACAACCACCTGAAACCAAAAAAAGGATTAGAACAATCTTTTACAATATATAACGAGCTTTCTACAGTACATATGAAGGGCCAATATAGATACAACCTTACCCAATGAAGCAGTAACCAACCCCTTTGAACGTCTAGGACATCCAATGACCAGTGCCCAGTACCTTCTTTGTAGGATTCTCTTTTTTGTGTCAATCGATTTAAGGATCAAATGGAACAAGGTCAGAAAAAAATGAAACAGATATAGCAACTTGAGATTGTGACCATAATAGACCAATGCTCTGGAGGTTATATCATCCAGGTCAGCCAGCATGAAGCATTTGATGAAAAAGTATAATTATCACTCACATCATCTGACGCCCTGGAAGTTTTCTCGTGGAAGATGGAATGCAAAACTGCAGCACTTGTCTGTGTCCTTCCCATCACCAGAATGCCAGAGCAGTCTCTGTCCAGTCTATGAACCTTAATATATACAATCTTGTTCAAGTATCAATCTAATATCTAGTTCATACTTCATATATCCAAGCAACCATCAATAATATTGGCACAAAACTAAAACACAAGGCAAACAATCCCACAAATTTCATGGATGTTCAAGCTTTGTAATGATGATAACAGATGCAATGATCTATGAAAAAAATAATAAATAATTAACTTTTACCATTCTTTTTTTACAAAATACCACTTTCCAAAATCATGGCAACTGTCTTGAGTAACAATAAAAGTGTTGTCTAATGAAAAAGGAGAACACATGAAAAAAGAAAAGAAAAGTAAAAAGAACTCATTCTTCCCTTTTCATTTAATGCATTGTTTGCAATTGCAAGGAACTCCTTTAGAAGTGATACCTCTAAAAGGTCGTAAGAGTGAAACCTTTGTAATTAAACCCTGATGCATGAAACAATATATTGCTTCATAGAGGAAAAAAGTTTCATTGTGGGTTCTTATATTATTGTCATTATTACACAGCCAATGCAAAACTTGAGCAAGTTGAGTACACGATATGATGAGCTCCCCGTCCTCTCTGGACACAAACAACTAGTGGTGGATTGTGATGTTCAAATCATTAACGAAAAAGTACAATAATTTGAGTCAATGTGATTTTCCTGCGATGAAATGCAGTTCTCCTTCACCAAATACTCTATTCGACTTTAGTTTCATTTTATCATCATCATTTTTTATTGAATCAGAGCATAAGCCTTGGCCAATGGAAAATCTGATCGAATAGCATAAGCCTTGCCAATAGCATAAGCCTTGGTTTGCTGCAATGGTGGTTTGAAAGGTTTGCTGCAATGGTGACTTTTTAGTGTTAAGGACCAAATAGAGCCTCGATAAATTTGTCAGGGACCAAATAAGACCTTCAGCTGTTCAAAACTCCAACAAGACATAAGGCACCTTCAAAACGGCGTCGTTTTACTTCCAAGCTGGCATACTTAACGGTGACTCAGCAAAGTAACGGTCCACGTGTGCACCGTTAGTTGGGTCGTTAGATGCCAACTAATGGAAGGATGAACGTGGCCCCTTTTTTTCAAAGATGAAACACTGAAATGTGACTTTTTTAAACCGAGGGACTAAATTGTGCTTCGCAAATATTTCTAGGGACGAAAAAGGATATTTACTCTAAATAATATTTGCACCGTCACATTTAATAATTTAAACTTCATATAGATAAAAATAATCTTTAACCCAACAACAACGTCACCGACTCACCATGAGATAGAAGGGAAGAAGTCTAGTAAAAGCAGCAACCCCGTGATGAGTGGTGATGAATCTTTCACCCAAAAAATATCTTAGCCCCACAAGCACAGATAATATTATTAGGGTTTTATAAGAGTTATGTCGTAAAAAAATAATTATGTAATGTTATAGAGATTCATTTTGCATGCCTTAATTTTTATTTATTTTTTTGTTTTAAGAAGTGTGAGCCCCACAAAATATCGTGAGAGTAGGGAAGTTTGTTGTGTTATGTTAAAAGATAAAACGAAAACCCATATTATTATTATTATGATTAATGAAATATCTACATCCCACGTAACCACTACGAACACAAAATATCTGTTGCTACTAATATCTTCAAGAACATTCCAGGATTTGACATTTTGCATGCTGAGTGGTCACCCCCGAAGAATCTAAGATATTTTATGGCCTCGTAATTCCTTCTAGAGCATTCATTTCCAAAACGACCTTAACTTCCTATAAAATCATGTTAGAGCTTCTGCGCGTTTCCCTTGTTCTCTTTGAGCCAATTGAGTGCAATTATCTGAGCCAGTGACATTGAAGGACTACTACAGAAAAAGCTATTTCGTTTTATGAGTATTTTCTTTTTGGGTGGTTGGAGAAGTTGATTGTTTCTGAGGATGATAATGGATTCTTATAGAGAAGGTTCATCGTCATCTTATTACAACATTCTTGGTGTTAGTTCTGATTCTTCCATCGATGAAATAAGGCGTGCTTATAGGAAGCTTGCAATGGTTAGTGTTTTCTCTATAGTCTAAGTGTTTTCACTTCAAGCCATGCTTTATTTGTTTAGGATCATTGTCATACATATGTCATATCGAGCATTTGCTTTGTTTTTTTTTCTTAAGATGGAACATTATGTTCTAAATGTGAGGTGCGTGTTTCTGAATCAAATACAGCAATGGCATCCAGATAGGTGGACAAGAACCCCTTCTTTACTAGATGAAGCCAACCGCAAATTCCAACAAATTCAAGAAGCTTATTCAGGTATGGTTTCTTGGAATTCTTGCGTTTTTTAAGACTTCGGGTTCTTGTTTCTATTATAGTTTCAAATTGGAAAAAAAAATAAAAATTCCTGAGATTGTTGCATCTGATTCTTTGCGTTTTCTTGGAGCAGTGTTATCTGACCACAAGAAAAGAACCATGTACGATGCTGGCTTGTATGATCCTCAAGAAGAAGAGGATGAGGTGAGTGCTTCAGAAATTTGAAGTTCGTTTTATGTAGTTTTAAGTTTGTTTCTTTTGTTTCTATTTCTTGTGTTATGGTCCTGGAAGACTAATTGTGCATGATCTCTGCTTTCAGGGATTTTCTGATTTTGTGGAAGAAATGGTGTCCCTTATGGCTCAAGTGAGGAAAGAGGTATGGTTCTTAATAGTCTTCTATAACGAATCCAGCGGAACAGGGATCCTTAGATAAATTTTAAGGGCAGAAATGTTGGAATTTTAGGTAGTGACATAATGGATTATAACGAATAAACACTCATCATATATCAACAATGTATGTATTACAGGGAAAGGATTATGGTTTGGAGGAGTTGCAGTCTATGTTCATGGAAATGGTTGAAGGATTCGAGTATCCTTCAATGTACTGTGGGGCACCTTCGGGGATTGATGAATCCCGGTGCTTAAAGAGGATGCGTTTTGACACAACCGTGATGGAAGATAAAGGGTCACATTTTCAAGTACCTGGCTTTAACTTGTATGAAACAAGGGGTTATTGTAATTAACTACTGCATTGTGTTGCTGATTGTTCCAGGAAAATCCTAATTTGCACAGAAGGATTTTCATTGAAGTTGCACCAATAGCCGAGAAGTGACAATGTATAATAAGTGGTCTTTTAATATTTTGACCACTTATCTCTTGTGTATCTCTTCTATTGTAGTCAAGTTTGTGAAATATTCACAGTATTAGATAGCAGTGGTCTTTCTCAATTTTTGTTATTGTAAATGATATCTTCCTATGAGGAAGAGAGGGTGGAAGACTATGGTTTTGTCTTTGGTATTTGTGCTCACTTAGGTAAGGATTACAGGATTTTCAGGCTGAGAGTGATTGAGTGACACAGGATTGTTCACTTGTGTTTTTGTATTTGCTTGACAAATGTTATTCTCATTGTGTAATTCACTCTACCTCTATATAAAATGAGTGTATTTCAAGTTTTATTAGAAGGCGTACGCTTTATTTTTAAATTATGTCAAGTTTAAAATAAATAAACTCTGCTTCTATATCTGCATAAACAAAGGTGTATATTAAATTATTATAATCGTCTGAAAATTTGTATTTTATGTATTGAAGTTCAAATTGCAATGATATACGTCTTACATCATAGAGTAAAATTGTCTTGAAAGTTAATTAATACTTTTCTTAGTACTGGTGGTACGAATTCAATATTAATGAACTTATCAAAAAACGAAAGAGTAAATTTATAAAGGCTTTTATGTCATAATTTTTTTATTATATACACGTTAAAGTAAATTATAATAATAATTCAATTAAAAGTTATAAAACTGATTGTTAAAACAAAAAAGAAAAAAGAAAAATTTATCTTATCTTGGACTTTGGAGTGGTTGTGTTGTGGCCCAACCTTTTATCCTTCCCCTTTGGGACAAGGCCACAGCTTAAAACTTTTTTCTTCAGCTTTCCCGTTTACACTTCTGTTGTCATGGGCTTCATTCCCAAAGCGAGGTGCTTGCCCATAGCTCTTACGGTATCGTGGTCCATATGTACATGCTATTGGTGTTCTAGTCTCTAGATTTCGATTTTTAAGATGTGCATCTTTAATTTATTTAAGTTTATTATCTTTTCCAAATGAAAAAAAGGAGACATCTATAATTTAAGATCTGAGATAAACTTATCATTGTCTACCTAGAAGGATTACTATAGTTATTTGATTTAAAATCTCAATCGAAAAACATTTAAGTCGAAGTAATATATAATTACACGAACATGGGTCCTTCAGTATGCATAACTCAATTTACAATTCTTTTTGGCTTACTTTTCTAGGTTAAAATTATAATTGTTTCTCTAAGTTTAGTTCATTATCGTCATTCCACTAATTTATTTTTTATTAGATCGCGTAGGATGGATTTGGAATTATGTTTGAGTTCTAGAAAAAAGAGTTTAATGTTGGGACTTGGGATAGACGTCTCGATACTTGTTGGAAAAATGACAAGAGTCAAAGAATACTAATAGAAAAATTGTAGAGAAATTGAAATTTATTCTATGATACAATATGTATAATCAATAATATGACCTATTTAGCCCCCGGGGCATAAGCGTAGTGGAAAGGGTCGAAGCCTAGGGTCTTGTGGCAGAAATGCACCAAAGCATCGGGTTCGATTCCTACCTCGACGTGCACATCCTGCGATTTACATCCTCCCAAGGTTCCTAAGGGCGTGGGCTTGAGGGACGGCAGTGATGGGCCGTAATCCAAGAAAAATAATATGACCTATTTAAAATAAGAGAAAGTAACCGATCAATAAGATGTTGTAAGTTAACCAAACAAAAACCATACTCCAACCATGGTAGTGAGAATGGAAGAAGGAAAGGTAAGAAATGTGTGTTTGGGAGTCACATTTGACCTTTCCTTCTACTTTTTTACACCTCAAATGTTATTCATACTTTTTTTACACCTTTCCTTCTTCCATTCTACTTTTGAGGGAGTAAAAAAGTCAAGAAATGTGTGGCATTTGGGTGTAAAAAAGCCAAGAAATGTGTGTTTGAGAGTCACATTTGAGGGAGAAAATATTCGGAATCAAAGTATGAATAACAAAGTCTCACACCGGTTAGAAATGAATTAAGTGATAATTATATAAGTAGATGGAATCATTAACTTAGTACCTTAAAGTTTTGAGTTAAAATATAAAAATTAAAATTAAAATATGAAGATCACATTCTCTCCCTGAATTTGTCATTGGAAATCAAATAAAAATGGTGGTGTATCATGCAGTACCAAAAACTCAGCTATATCAAAGAAGCAAACTGAGGCCGATTGTTCATAGTACTATAATATTTGCGTGAATTTTATTTGTCATATATTCTTAGTTTTAAAGGTTGTGAAGAGATGATCATTTTCATTTACAAGTTAAAAGAACGTATGCAAAAAAAATCAAATCATGGTAGCTCAGTTGACGTATATAATAAGAGCATGTTTTCGATCCTTCTCAATACCATCTTTGGGAGGAATTTAAAGTCTTAATCTTGGACTATCCTAAATAATATTACCCCCTGTGGAGGATACCTATGATTTATCAAAAAAATAAAAATAAAATAAAATAAAAATCTTCCAATGGTATTCCCTGAATTAAATGTGGAACAGTGACCAAAGTGTCACTTTTTGGCAAATTTTTCACCCAAATGCTACGCGAATAGTACTTTTTACCAGACTGCCACACGACGTAATTCGCTATGACAGGTAGCGAACTTCGTCGCCTATGATTTCGTGACACGTGGCTACATTGCGTACCAAATTCGCTACTACTAGTAGCGAACTTCGTTTAGTGATTTTTTTTTCTGCGAAAATGTGCCACGTGTCACATTATCAGTGGCGAACATAATTCGCTACCAGTCGTAGCGAATTACGTCACGTGGCAGTGTGGTAATAAGTACTGTTCGCGTGGCATTTGGGTAAAAAATTTGTCAAAAAATAGCATTTTGGTCGATGTTCCATTAAATGTTGTACTACCACTTTCAATAAAGCTTGGAGCCAAGGGACTCTAGGAGTATACCTTACAAAAATAAGGATTAATTGGGTGCCTTTGAAGCGCTCAGAGTGCATAGAATTGTATAATCTAATGTTATAAAAGTCGGAAGTCTGACTCGAAAACTAGTGAACTGGTTATATAATCAGTTCAGTTTTTATATTGGACCAGCTATGTTACAAAATCGATGTGATCCAATGCGACTCAGCCGATTTTTGTAAAAATTGGTGACCCGATCAGTTCAACCGGAGACCTGGCTCGGTTCGTAAAAAAAACAAAGAGTAAGTATCTTTTTTGGTCCTTAACAAAAAACATGGTCCCCACTTTAGTCCTTTACAAAAAAAATTAGTCTCGAGGTCCCTAACAAATTCAAAGTGGACCCATTTAATTGAAATCGTGATCCCTCATAAATTCAAAAAAGACCCATATTAGTCCCTCAAAAGTACTAAAATGGGTCCACTTTGAATTTCATAGAGACCAACTGACTATTTTTTTGTAAAGGACTAAAGTGGGGACAATATTTTTTGTTAGGGACCCAAAAGGGTATTTACTCAAAAACAAAACAAAAACTAGATTGTTCTCATCAATTGATGCCTTCCTTTTTTTTCACTCTCACACACAAATGGTTTGTTTTCTTTTGAAATATTTGAGTGATCTATCCGATGCGACCCGACCAATTTTTGTAAAAATTGGTTACCCGATCGGTTCAACCGGAGACCTGGCTCGGTTCGTAAAAAAAATAAAACAAAAACTAGATTGTTCTCATCAATTGATGCTTTCCTTTTTTTCACTCTCACGCACAAATGATTTGTTTTCTTTTGAAATATTTGAGTGATCTACAGCTTATTAACTTACAAAGATTATGTACCTAAAACACTAATATTACCTTATTATGCAATATGCAGGGAATTTTGATTTATTTTATAGTTAGAGATGTCGTTAACTGAACCTAAAACACCAATATCATAAATATTATATGTTGGATTGATCTTTTGTTGGACAATGATGTGTAATTTATTATTCTTCGTATTAAAATATTTGAATTTGGTATCATTTTTTTACATGTATTTAAGTATATTTATATTTTTTAATATAAAATAATAAATTTATATATACTTATCAGGTCATGCGATTGAACCAGTGACTTAATACCTCGACCGGGTCAATAATCGAGCCGGATTTAATAACATTAGTATAACTACACACCTGACGTAGCTCCTAAAGAAAGAATGAAGAAGGGACCATTAATATTCATATATATATATATGTGTGTGTGTGTGTGTGTGTGTGTGTGCGTGTGACAGGAAGAAAAATTTGTTGTGTGTGCGTGTGGTAAGAAGAAAATTTTCTTCCAGCAACAAGATGACACACAACTGGTAGGAAAAACCCGCAACTCCTTGGGGTTATCCTGCACTTGGAAAAAGAAATAGAAAAAGGAATAAATATAGTGATAATTTGATTCTTCGCCGCCGTAGTAGATAGTAGAGTAGATAAAATCGAATTTGTTTTTTCGTCTTTACAAAAAAGGGAGTAATTAACTGTGACAAGTTCACTAACAAAAAAAATCCTTTTGTAGCGAATCACTTATTAATAAAAATAAATAAGCTTAACAAAAAAGCAGAAAAAGAAATAATTTTAACTTGGTCCAGAACATCTACCATTATACCCACAATGATTGGACATACCATTGCTATCCATAATGGAAAAGAACACTTATCCTATACACACATTGATGAATGTGCAATCTTTTTTTTGTTTTTTGTTTTACAAAAAAAACAATGTGCCCCATAGCTGAATTTGTCCGTGCAAGAAATCAAACTTGTCAGCAACAAAATGAGAAAAATAAATCTCTGTGTGTGTGAATGGAATAAAAGGTGACACATGCACACATATTTATTTTTCTCTCACACACATAGATTTGTTTTTCTCATTATGCTGTTGACAAGTTCGATTTCTTGCACAGACAAATTTAGCTATGGGGCACTGATGCTCACAGGCAAGTGTACCGATCACACAAGTAATACATTGATAAGAAAAGTATCTTCTCCACAGGGATTGAGATCAAATATCAAATAATTGTTCCTTTTAAGATGGAAAAAGTTCAAATAGGTGTGACAAATATTGTTGATTTGATTAAAAATAAGAAATAAAAGCAAGAACGTATTTTTAGGATTTTTATGATGAATAATAAAAATAAAAATAAGGATTGATTTGTAAAAGTATGAGAAAGCATTGTAGCTATAGTGCACTCACCAAATGATTCTCGATTCTTACCTTGGATTGATTTACAATACTCATTTATATAATTACTCAGATAAATTATTATCTCAAATTATTCAGTAGTTTACCCTCAATTCCTTGCAAGATTAACCCTTTGACCCCAATTGGAACCTCAATTCCTTGCAATGTTCCTCATGGCATTAATCAATGAACCCAATAATT